TTCCCCAAGTCACAACTAAAAATATACACAATATATCAGTAAGAGTAACCCTGCCTCACCATTACCACACCCTCTTCTCTGACTCTTGTCAAGTTTGGCACATAGTATAGAAAGAAGCTTAGCCCAAATCCTATTTTACTTCACCTTGGTCACTGGTCTCTCCCAGCAACTGGCTTGTGACAAAATACTGGTCAAATACCAGGAGGCAGATCTGACAGGATGCTCCTGAGAAGGTCTTGGTAATTTAGGACAATTCCTCTGGTGTGGACTTGTGAGACTACAAGTTCAGAGATGGAAGGGACATTAGTGGCATCTTACTCCAAAGCCTCCAAAGATGAGGAAACTGATGCCCAAAGAGGTTGGTAAGTGACTTGTCCCAGGTCACACAGCTAGGAAGTCAAAAAGGTAAGATTTGAATCCAGGTCCTCTAATCCAAATCCAACACCCTTTCCACTGGAACACACAGTCTCTATCCTCCCCGATTCTCCAAACATCCAAGGATCTTTTTAATTATCACTCATTAAAAGTATTATCAGTTACTCAAGTTAGTATTCCTTACATCAAGCCTATAAAAAGAAAGAGATAAAAGTGAAAATAAAATCTAGTGATATCATCTCCACTAACAGAGGAAGGGGAAAAGCTTAATTAAATCCCAGGCTTTTCTAAGGTACACATAGTCTTTTCTTCTCTAGATAGAGTACACTAACTTGCTCTCAGTCTACCCAGTAGAGTTAAAAAGATCACTGGGCTTGGGGTTGTGAGATCTGAGTTTAAATGTCAGCTTTTCCATTTCCTACGGCCACACGCAGGTCACTTAATATCACTAAGCCTAAATGGGGATAATAATCCTTGTATGACCTCACAAGATTGCTGTGAGGAAAGTATTTAGTAAATGATTCTAGAAAGACAAATTAATATTATTTTTTTTATTACCTAATTGGCTGAGTTTAAGCAAATCAATCTCTTTGAAACTCAATTTCCTTACTTGGAATGTAAGCTTCCTGAGGTCAGGGACTATCTCAATTTTATCTCTGCACCTGCTGAGTCTAGCACATTAAGTGCCTGATACATAGTAAGCATTTAATAAAAGTTTATTGATTGGCTGAAGGATAAAATGAAGGGATCAGAGTAGATGATTTCTGAGATCCAGGTCCAAAATTCCATAATTGTATGACTTTAAGACAGCTGGAGACTTCATTTATGGAAAATCTGACAGATCTGGGCTATAATCTCTTATCTGGATTTGTTGTGTCATTTTGGTTGTGTCCAACTTCATGACTCCATTTGGGGTTTTCTTGGCAAAGATACTGCAGTGGTTTGCCATTCCTTTTTCCAGCTCATTTTACAGATGAGGAAACTGAGGCAGACCCAGCATCACCCAGTATCTGAGTGTCTGAGGCCAGATTTGAACCCAGAAAGATGAGTCTTCCTGATTTCAAGCCCAGTGCTGTATCCACTACACCACCTAGCTGCCCTTCTTGTCTGGATAGCCAACCGTTAAAGCCCTCTAAAATGCTGCCACATACATCAGAGTGAGAGTCGATAAAGACAAAGAAGGAGACTTCATTAGGGAGGGATTCCCAACCCCTTCCAAAGTCCTCTCTCTGTTCAGGACTCTTGACTAACTGTGCAAAGATCATTGAATCACTCATCCAAAGGAGCTCTGGTTGCAAGCTGTGAAAGCACCCTTGCCCTCAGCCATCACCTAGACCACCCACATCTCCCAAGTCACAGCAGTACCTGGAATCAGAAAGAACAAAGAGGTGTCCTCCTGTATAATATGGCCCAGAGAAACAGCCCTTCACTGAAATCAGTGGTGTTGACAGTAGTGATAGGATCATCTAGAGGAAGGAGTCCTAGATCTGGCGTCAAAAGCCCTGGCTTTGCCATGTGTGCCCTGTGGGACGTGGCGCAAGTCACTAGTTTCCTCACCTGTAAAATAAAGGAGGTTGGACTAGGTGCTCTCAAAAATTACTTCAGGCTCTGAAATAATCTTCAACAATCTCTGGCTTGGCTGTGCCACTGAACTTCTCAGTACCAGAAGTGAAACAGGGAATTCTATTTAAACTTCAATAAAAAAAATACCCTCAAACTCAATTCTATATCAGATTTTATCTTCCCTAAACACAGCAATTCTCCTACTAATGAGACAGGGTTTCAGTGCAAATTGTAGTGGCCCACTTCTACCACTTGCAAACCTGTATGACCTTGGATAAGTGACTTAGTCTCTCTGGGCCTCAGTTTCCTCAACTGTAAAATGAAGAGGGGGAAATGGATTGTATGATCATTAAGGTCCTTTGCAGGTCAAAATCTATGATCATATGATTCCTACGAAGACAAAACCAAATCTAATTTCAAAAGATTATGCACCTTAGAAAGTTAACATCTGTCCAGCCGGCCGCTTGTTCGGTTTTTGTTAATCATCCTTTGTGGAGAGAGAGGAACAAGATAACGGGCAGGGAAAATCTCAGGAGCAATGAGCTAAAGCTTAAGAATTTCCCCCAATCACTCAACAGCAGCAGCCATCATCCCCACCCCACTCAACAACCACACTCACACGCATCCATACACGCACACACGCACACGCACATGCACAGATCTGCAGCACTTGTGTGTTAGGAAAGCCCTGTAGTATCAAACCTGTGAAGACTATTACCCAGAGCAACCATAATGAGGGGTAGAAAGAGAGAGAAGGGGGAGGGCGATCCAGTTCCTATTTCCATGGGTGGTCTAATGAAAAGTTGCATACAGTAGGGTGACCTACCACCTCCTGATCCTCAGAGACTGACAATCCAAGACCAATTCCAAAAGATGTCTGAACAACGGCAGGAAAATCCAAAGACTTTAATGCAGTGGATAGAGTGCTGGGCCGAGTTCAAATCCAACCTTAGACAGCTAGCTGTGTGACTCTGGGTAAGCCGCTCAACCTCTGTTGGCACTGTAAGATGGGGATAATAATAGCACCTACTTTGCAGGGTTGTTGTAAGGACCAAATAAGATAATATTTGCAAAAGCACTTAGTACAGTGTCTGGCTCATAGTAGGAGCTCCCTACACCCCCTTCTCTTTCCTTCCCTTCTTCACAACAGATATCCTAACATTCTTTGGGGAAGGAATCCCCAAAAGACTAAGAACCAGAAGTCTGAGTCTGCTCCCAGGCAGAGCAAGCTTGGCTCTTGGTAACAAAGAGTGGAATCCCCGACGTGGGACCAGAACAACCCAAGCTCTTTAAGTAGAAGGGCATGGTTCCCAAGCATATTCCCCTCCCTTTCATTATTTATCTACATTATGGAAAGGTAGAGATAAGGGAGGGAGACAAGTCATACAACTATACATAGCATACAACTATAAAACTTAGAGATGAAAAGGGTCTATTCCAGAGGTTCTCAAATTGTGGGTCAGAAACCCCTGGAGATTCTTGAGACCCTTTCAGGGAATCCATGAGGTCAGAATTATTTTCATAATAATGCAGACATTTTTATTCCTAGTATGACAACAGCTATAACCTACATAAACAACAGCTCTTTTGGGAGTCCTCAACCTTTAAGACTGTAAAAGGGGTATTAAGACCAAAAAAAATTGAAAACTGCTGGCCTGTTCAACCCTACTCATTTAACTGCTGAGGAAACTGAGACCCAGAGAAGAGCAGTGATCTGTGTGACCTGAGGCCACACAGGGAGTCAGCAACAGAGTTGGTACTTGACCCTACATCTTCTTGCTCAAAATATATTGCTCATTCCCCAAAATGAAGAATGCTATATACAATTTCCCTCATTTGCCAGATGCTCTTGGAAGATTATGTTGTGGGCAATTCATTTCCATCCATCAGTTTGACACCAAGTTCATTATTTTAACTCTGAGGTTTAATATTAGTTGAGTAACAATGTGAATTTAATTGCCAAGAATAATGATTGGGGTGGGGGTGAAAGAAAAGAAGAGGAAGGGAGACTTCTTCCCACTGTTGGCATATTGATGGCATTTTTAGAAAGTATTTTTTAAAATGTCGAAGTAGTCAAATTCTGAAGGGAAATCTTTTACCCACCACACATTAACACAGACTTGCAGTGTCTGCATGCATCCCCCAAAGTTTCTGCATCTGGACCAACACATCCATCTGGCATGCCCTAGACATTCAAAAGAAGTTAATCTCCTTGGAAAGATGACTTAAGCCATAAATACCAACAACCCTTAAGAAATTCTCCCCTAAAGCTCTGTAATTCACACTGGAAAGCCTTTACAACAGCATGGCACTAAGAGGAAAGAGATCTATTTGGGACTGAAAATACAAAGTCCTGAAAATTTCTGTGATAAAAATGGCCAAGGTGATTTACTCATCACCAACGTATCTGTGAAAAGATAAAAAGAAGTTTTAGCTTAGGAATAGATTTTTTTTTTTAAATTCAGTAAGCTGTGTTCTCTCAGCTCTACCTCACTCCCAAACAGACAAAATCATGATAAAAAAAATAGTATAAATATGTCATCAAAGCAAAGTCTAGAAATGATCATGTCTTGGAGTTTTTTCCCCTCTCAGTAGAACATTAAATGAATTTTCTTTATTATTGTTTTCTAATTCCTCCATCCTTTGTCACATTTGCTTAGTTCAAAAGGAACCAGGAACACACATCTAAATTTTGGAGGATAAAATACCAAAACAGACACTGCATTGATATGTGCCATGGAATGGAAACTGGAGAGTGTCATAAATCTTAGACAAGTAATAAATAGCAGCATTTGGGGAACATTAGAAAAAATATAACAGCAACATGGAACCTTGCACACTCAATTTTTCAATGTAGGAATGTCAATGAGACCACCAGTTAACACTCTTAAGTTGCCCCCCTTTCCCATTTAGGTTAGAATTAAACTTTCACCAGCAAAACTCTGCACATTTCATGCACTGCTGACCAGAGTTAATTATCCTACAAGGATATACTCTGTGGCATTCCGTTAACATAACACTCATACTCAATCCAAAATGGGGGACAGAAAGAAGATACTTACAGGTAGTGATATTCCTTTCAATGCTAAAAGGCAAGATGATCTTGGAGCAGGAGGGATAATAAGAGTCACTGACCCAGTAATCTCTGGTCTAAAAGGGTTTTGAGGGGTGAGGGGTAAATCCAGTGAAGGAGAGAAAGAGAGAGGGAGAGCTGAAATTCCAGTCTTTCTGGTCAGCTCGGTTTTAGTTTTCTTTGTCCTAAAAATCCATTAACCCACCGAACCAAAAAAAATCAATAAATAAAAGCATCCAGGCACTCCCCCACACGCACCCCCTCTCTCTTCTGGTCGTCTCCTAGACTGCTGCTGCTTTGAAAACTTCCAGAGCAAAGCCTCAGAGCTCCCTAGGAGCGGGGCATTATAAGGATGCCTTCAACTGTTTACAATGAGCCCTGGCTCTCTGGCTGGCTGCCAGAGTTCTTTCCATCCCCTTCTGCCTGTTGGGTCCCCAGGGGACAAAAGTGAGCTCTTGTTAATAAGCTCGGCCGTTTTCTCTTCCTAGGTTCCTCCTTGCTTACTTTCTCACTATCAGTTGTGAACTAAGTGTCCCCAGCCAGTGGCTGGGCTGGAAGGATCCCCCAGCCTTCACCTCTCCCCTCTGACCTGCCTTCCTGCCCCCTCCTAAAAGGGGCTGGTTTGAGTGTTTTTTTTTTATTCAAATGCAGATGTGATTCCCAGCCTGCAGAAAAGGGTTACTGGGTGGGTTTTCATTTCTGCCAAGGCAGTCAGAAAAAGTGTGTGTCAGTCTATTTAGTCGATTAGTTAGTCTAAAATATCACTTAAGGCTGTGTTTTTTTCCAGTAGATAAAAGATTTGGTTTGTTGTCATTGCTGTTGTTTTGGTTTGTTTTAGGAGTTCTTTCTCTTAAAATAAGCTCATTGTTACAATGTTTAGATCTTCTTATGGTGACCATATTTTCCAAACCCCAGCTAGGATAGAAGCTGTGGCAATGGCGATCCCTTCTGAAAAGCCTTGTTAAAAGAATCTGTTTCTGTTCTTTAAATGAGACTAGAAAATTGAGGGGGTGTGGTTGCCACAGATATACCACAGGTCATCTATATTCAGGTTACCACAGTACCTGGAGTCAGAAAGGCCTGAGTGCAAATCAAGCCAAAGATGCTTACTAGCTGTGTAAATCTGGCCAAATCATTTAACTGCTGCCTGCATCAGTTTTCTCGTCTTTAAAATGGGGATAATAATAGCACCTCCCTCTCATGGTGGTTGTGAGGATAAAACGATGTAATATCTGTAAACATTTTGCAAACCTTAAAGATAGATAATCACTAAATATAAGTCCAAGCTCTCAACCTTAGACAATACCTCTTATCTGGAGCTGTTAAAAAGTGGAATGGGGAGTGGTGGTGGTGGAGAAGAGGGGCAGAACATAGGAGGTGGGGAGGAGTAAAGCAGGCCATCCCTGGAGGGCTTAAATCAGAGGCCGGGTGATGATATTCTATCATCACCCAGGTATTCTAAGAGGGATTCAAGGCTTTGGAAGGAAGTGGACTAAATCACGCTTGAGTTTCCTACCAGTTCTTAGATCCCATGATATCTGACATAGAACTAGGCATGGGGAAAGCCTGAGAGTGTGGTTAGCCTACAATGTGATTGTTCCCTGTCCCCAGCACTAGAAATGGATTCACCTGACATTCATCTCCACCAGGAGAAAATTTCCATATGCATTTATTCGACAAATATTAGACAGCAGGGGAGAGATAGTTTAGGTAAGATATAGTTCCTGTGCCTGGAGAATTTAGTAAACAATAGGATAAGACACTGTTACACATATGTACAACACATACGTGTAGCATACTAAATTACATTAAAAAGAGCTGCAACGTGAAATGAGGAGGAAGAAGGAAGGTTATTATTGACCAAGGGGATCAGGGAAGGCCTCTTGAAGGAGGTGACGTTTCAGATGGATTTTAAATGATGGGTACAATTTCTTTAGGTGAGGGGGAGAGAGAACATTCTAGGTATAGGGAATAGCATCAGCAAAAGCATGGAGGTTAGAAGGTACATAGCACATTTAATCAGGAGAGGAGATGAGACACTACTATTCTTTAAGGCTAGCCAACTCCTACTCTGGGTAACTCTCCTAATCCCTGTGACTTAATGCCTGGCTGCCCAAGAGTAACCTACCCGCTTCACTCTCCCATTCCTATCGTCCTCGATGCCCCTCCAAGGTCCCACTCCCAATCCTCCCTCCCCTTCCACTTTGCTCTCTGGAATCCTCATTCCACAACTGGTAAGCTTCCCTTCATTTTAGGCATTTTCCACTCAAGTTCCCTCCATCTTATGCCATGTGCTCCTACCATTTTATAGCACTCACAGAGAGACTTGGTCCAGGAGGAGGAGGAGGAGGAAAAAGGAAAAGAAGAGGGAGAGGAGAAAAAAGATGGAGAAAAGAAATAGGGGGAGGAGGAAAAGGAAGCACAGGAAGGAGGAGGAAGAGGAGGAGGAAAAGAGAGGAGGAGAAAGAGAAAGTAACGGGGGAGGAAGAAAAGGAGGAAAAATACTTTTTGCTCCCCACTGCCACTTCCAGTCTCTTTCTTTACTGCTATCACTCTGCTACCTTTCCTCCTTTGACATCCACTCCCAATCTTGACCCTATATCTTCTACTTTCAATATCTTGTCCCCTTGTCCTACTGAGCTCTTTTGATATGCCAAACCCCAAACCTACCATCAGCCTACTCTACTTCTGCTTACATACTGCTAAATGGAACCAGAGGAAGTCAAGCAACCATATTGACTGGGTCCACTACAAAATGATGTTACCTAACCATCACTGGGCCCTCACTATAGCAAGACAAACTTTTAATTCTTCTTTAATTTTCTATCCCATTCCTCACAGAAGCTATTACATATCTTCTCTCCTCAAAACTCCCATACCTCTCCCTCTTCTCATCCTCTTATATTTGCCCCATATTTTACTAAGAGGTTATTAGCCCCTTGCCATCCCCCCACAAGCTTCCACTTCTCTTTTTCACCTCAAAATCCCTTTGACATCATCTCCTCCTCTACTACTGTCTCTGATAATGAGTTTTCCTTTCTCTTTGCCAACACAAACCTCTCTACATGATTCCATTTCCTCCTAGACTGCCAAACCATATGGTCTCATCCTGGAAATTACCTGAGTGCCTGGGACCTCCTAGCCCTAGAACATCCAACCACCCCTGTTACCTTCTCAAAATGAAACATCTCCTGTAAAACCTGGCCCCTTCTCTCTTTATTAAGTTCTTCCTGGAACCAGGGACCCAGACTGGCCTGTTCATGGCTTCCTAAATTCAAACCCATGGCCCAGCACTAGGTACCTTCATCTTGAATCTCACCCCCAATCCCTTTTCAGCTCTCTTCTGTCTGCTGCCTTTCCCCATTAGATTGTAAGCTCCTTGAGGTCAGGGGCTGTGTTTCTTCACATAGTCAGTATTTAATAAATACTTGTTTTCTTCCTCCTTCAACACATCCAAGAGAGAACTCATTATCATTTCCCCAAAAACCCACCTCTCTTCCAAAGTTCCCCTGTTTCTGTTGAAGGTACCACTATGTTCCCAGGTTCACAAAACAAAAAATCTCAAATCCTCCACTCTCCTTCACCCCACATATCTAATCAGACATTGCTATTTCTACCTCCACAACATTTCTCACCTTCAATTCATCTCTCTTCACATGCAGTCACCACCTTAGTTCAGGCACTCATCACCTCTTGCCTGGATTATTTCCAGTGGCCTCCTAATTCATCTCCTTGGTTTCAGTCTTCAACCAATCCGATTCAAAGTGATTCTTTTAAGGCATATATCACTATACTGTAAACTCCAGAAAAACGCAATTAACTAAGCAATAAACATTTTTAAATGCCTACTATGTGCCAGGCAGAGTTCTAAGCACCTGGTTCACTGTTTCGGTTTGGGGGATTTTGTTTCTGTTTTTGTTTCTTTGCTGTTCCTCACACGCAACATCCCATCTTTTGTCTAAATGTCATTGGACTGACTATGCACCATGCCTCAAATGCACTGCCTCCTTACCTGTAGCTGACACCGTTCCTCATTTCTTTTAAATCTTAATTCAAGAACTACCTTCTATGTGAAGTCTCTCCTGATCCCTCCAAATACTAATGCCCTTCCTCACTAACTGCCTTGAATTTAGTTTGTATTTATTCAGTATGCACGTAACTGTTGTCTCCCCTACGATGATGCAAACTCCTTGATTGCAAGGACGGAATCATTTTTGTCTTTCTATTCCCAGCACCTAGCATAGTGCTTGACACACAGCAGGTGCTTGATAAGTGGTTATTCGATTAATTAATTGGCAGCGTTTGAGACCAGGGTCACGAGATCTAGAGCTTGAAAAAATCTTGGAGATTATCTAGTCCACACCCTTCATTTCAGGATACTGAGACTCAGGGAGATTAAGTGATTTTTCTAAGGTCATGCAGCTTATAAATTGCAAAATACATACAGAATTCAAACCTGGAATAGTCTTTGCCTGATTAGAGAACGGTGTGGAGAAGAGAGTAATGCAAGATAAGCATCTGGCTAACCTTTAAATAAACTGGGAATAGGAAGGAAAGCAGCTGAAAAACTGCTAAGACCCTCAGGATCTGGACCTTCAGCTTAATACTCTACCAAGTGAGTTCTGATAGGTTGTGATGTGTACTTACGGAGGGAGTGCCCAGACCAAGAGATCACAGACCCATCAAAAATACTGCTACATTATCTGCAGTGTCTTTAGTCCTAATGGGATTCCCCTCCTTCTCTCTTAATAGGGAAAGAAACATCATAAATACCATCTTATTGGTAGAAATATTTCACATAAGTGAAAAGCCATAAATGTCTTAAGTTGTGAATGTAGGGAAGCTAAGGCAGCTGAAATTCAAATCGAGCTTAGAAATCTCTTGCTCTCTTGTGTCACCTTGACTGAACCCCTTCCATTTCTTACTGCCTCAGTTTTCAAAAATGGAAAATGGAAAAAGGAAGAAGAAGACAAATCTTACGAATTAAAAGTGCTTTGCTCAGACCACACAAAGTAAGCACTTTTGAAAAAAAATTGTGTTAGCTATAATTCTTCAGGCTACAATTCAATTCAATTCAACCAATATTCATATAGAGCTCCTTCTCTATGGAAAGTACTGTGTTGGTGTTGTTGCATAATCAGAATCAATTATTGATGAACACAGCTTCAGCAAGCCTGCATCTAGCCAGTGTGCAGGGGAATGTCATGAAACTGAATATAATCCAGGTATTCATTGTGAAATAACAACAATTTCTTAGATTTGAATGGTGTTTTCCAGCATTCAAAACACTTTCAAATAAATTGTCTAATGGAATCATGGTGCTGCTCAAAGAGGCAGCTATCTTGGCTCAGTGACAATATAAGCAAACAGCCAAGTTGTGCTCCATGTTTCCAGGCCTCCTTTGATCAATAAGCTTGACTTCTTTTCTGTAGATATAGAGTCAGGAGGAGATACCTGCTGTGATACAGATATAAA